AAGCTGGAGGTCTCTCGGCAATTTCCCCCGTTGAGTTTGGCCCTTCCTGCCAAGGAAATCCTCAGCTCGGGTCTGGCAACTCTGGAAGTGATGGTCCCAAGTGACTCTTGTTTTGAAAAGTAGGACAACCCGGCCACCCGAGCAGGGAAGAAACTTGAGCGGAGGCCGTCCAGCCTAATCTACACAAAAGCAAACAGGAAACCCGGAACTATAATTCAAGGCAGATGTTCTCCCCTGCATGGAGAGAGACGATAGATCAGAATTAACTTCTTCTCTTGCTTGGCTGAAAACCTCAGGTCGTACTTTCTGTTTGGACGGGGGAAATGCAAGGATCCAGTCTAGGAGAATCAGCCGAGAGGAAAGCCGTTGGATCCACTGAAGCTGAGCAAATTCTTTCTATTTTAGGGCTCTTAGACTTGCACAGATACCTGATCGAGGGTGACAGGAGAGGAGGGGAGAAGAGAGGGCAAAGCTTTCCAGCTTTGGGGGGGGGGTTGCTTTGGGTTGTTTCGGGGTGAAGGCACTGGGGAAGTGTTCGTGTTTCCTTAAAACAAACCCACAAGTGAAAAGAAGGGATCCCTCTGCTGAAAAAGCGCAAGGGGCCGCCAAATTCTGGCCATGCAAAGGTGGGGGTTTCTGGAAGAATGTAAAATTGGGGTGCGGGAACCAGATGCTCAAGCTGAGGGTCATACGGTGTACATCCCCTTCCCAGCGTTGACTGTTGCGTGTGTGTGTGTGTGTGTGTGTGTGTGTGTGTGTGTGTGTGTGTAAATCCTCTTATTCGGAACCCTCCTATAAATATTTATAAGGCCTATCAGTTCTTTAAACAAAAGTCCTGCAACGCCCTCAATGTACAGAGGGGACGATGCATGGCTCGTCCAGAGACATCCGTCCGTGCTCGGTGAGGCTGAATTAATCCCAGACTGCCTTTGGGTAGAGCTGAACAAGCTTCGCTCTGATGGCATTTTCCATAAAGGGAAGGATAATAAGAAGGGCCCAATTTTCCCAATGGGAGAGACGTTCCGCTGGACCAGATGGAGAAGGACTGTATAGTTTGGCTTTCTGTTCCCAGAGTGGCTGCTAGATATTTTATTTGTTTATCTGTGAGGTTCTTGGTGCTCTCTGAGCTTCATGGCTTTCTTGCAGACATTTCATTAACCACATTAGGTAACATCATCAGTGCTAGAAGGGCGTCTGGTTTGCAGAATAGAAGAGGAGGAGGAGAAGCAGGAGGAGGAGGAGGAGGAGGAGGAGAACTATGGGGTCCTTGGTGCTCTCTGAGTTTGGTGGTTTTCTTGCAGACATTTCATTAACCACACTAGGTAACACCATCAGTGCTAGAAGGGCGTCTGGTCTGCAGAATAGGAGAAGAGGAGAAGAGAAGAGAAGAAGGAGGAAGAAGAGGAGGAGAACTGTGGGGTCCTTGGTGCTCTCTGAGCTTGGTGGTTTTCTTGTAGATGTTTCATTACCAAACTAGGTAACATCATCAGTGCGATAAGGGAGTGGAGTTTGAGGAGGAGGACGACGACTGTGGGGTCCTTGGTGCTCTCTGAGCTTAGTGGTTTTCTTGTAGATGTTTCATTACCTAACTAGGTAACATTATCAGTGCGAGAAGGGAATGGGGTTTGAGGAGGAGGACTGTGGAGTCCTTGGTGCTCTCTGAGCGTGGTGGTTTTCTTGCAGACATTTCATTACCCTAACTAGGGAACATCATGAGTGCTAGAAGGGAGTGGGCTTTGTGGAGTGGGAGAGGAGGAGGAGGAGGAGGAGGAGGAGGAGGAGGAGGAGGAGGAGGAGGAGGACTGCTGTTGTGTCTTTGATCTCTGAGCTTGGTGGCTTTCTTACAGACATTTCATTACCACACTAGATAACATCATCAATTCTAGACAGGAGTGGGGTTTGCTCTTTGTTATTATCCTTTCTAGCACTGATGATGTTGGCTAGTTTGCTAATGAAACATCTGCAAGAACACAGCCAAGTTCAGAGAGCATCAAGGACCCCGCCGTCCTTCCCCTCCCCTGACAACCAAGGAATTAAAATGGAACAGGATCCAATCTGGGTTGGTCACTGGCCCCAGAGGTTTTGTCCTCCGAGCTTTCAGATTCCTGCTGGAAGCCATCTTCAGGGAACTTCTCTCTAGCAGACGGTGTGCTGTTCTGTGTGTGGCATTAATTTATACACAGGACAGCACAACACTCTTCTAGAGAGAGGTTCCCTGTAGATGGGCTCTAGCATGAGTCCAAAAACTTGGAAAAGTAAAGCTCTGATTCTGGTGATTGACCCAGATTGGATCCTGCAACATTATCCTGGGACAGGTAATATTCACTCGTAAAATGGGACAAAACTCACTTCAAAATGGTCTCACTTAGCAACAGAAATTTGTTTGGTTGCTAGTTAGTTAGTTAGTTAGTTAGTTTAGTGACAGATTTTATCTTTCTGGGCTCCAAGATCACCGCAGATGGGGACTGCAGCCAAGAAATTAAAAGACGCTTGCTCCTGGGGAGGAAAGCTATGGCAAATCTAGACAGCATACTAAAAAGCAGAGATGTCACCCTGCCAACAAAAGTGCGTATAGTCCAGGCCATGGTTTTCCCAGTGGCAATGTATGGCTGTGAAAGTTGGACCATAAGAAAGGCTGAGCGCCGAAGAATGGAGGCCTTTGAACTGTGGTGCTGGAAAAGACTCCTGCGAGTCCCCTGGACTGCAAGGCGGTCAAATTGGTCAGTCCTAGAAGAGATCAACCCCAACTGCTCCTTAGAAGGCCAGATCCTGAAGTTGAAACTCAAGTACTTTGGCCACCTAATGAGAAGGAAGGACTCACTGGAGAAGAGCCTGATGCTGGGAAAGATGGAGGGCAAGAGAAGAATGGACGACAGAATGAATGAAGTGGCTGGATGGAGTCACTGAAGCAGCAGGAGGGAGCTTCAATGGACTCCAGAAGATGGTAGAGGACAGGAAGGCCTGGAGGAACGTTGTCCATGGGGTTGCGATGGGTTGGAGATGACTTTGCAACTAACAACAACAGTTAGTTAGTTAGTTAGTTAGTTTGGCTGTTAGCCCTTTTGTTCATCCTTGGTTCTAGACCCTCACTTCCCATAGCCCCATTCCAAAAAATGAGCCTTTCCGCTCTTTCCTGTCCTTCCTCCCTTTTGTCTCCAGCATGCAACATCTCAGCTTTTCTTGGTTACTTTTCTCCATTCATGTGAGCTTTTTACCATTTACTGCTTTTATATGCCAAGCTATAATTTTCCTATCCCGTGCTGGTCAGGAGAGGTTGAATTCTGATGCTTAGCCATAAAAACCACTTAAAAACCTGTAACAAAGTAATAGTAATAGTAGTAAAGTTGGAAGGGACCTTGGAGGTCATCTAGTCCAACCCCCTGCTCAGGCAGGAAACCCTACACCATTTCGGACAAATGGCTGCCCAGACTCTTCTTAAAAACTTCCAGTGTTGGAGCATTGACTGCTTCTGGAGGCAGGCTGTTCCATCTTCCAGGTTCTGGTTGTCCCAAAGGTGCTTTTTTTTCTTGTTTTTTCTTTGAAAACGTTTTGCTTCACATCCAAGAAGCTTCTTCAGCTCTGCCTGAATGGTAGGGAAGTCAGAGCCGAAGAAGCTTTTTGGATGCTAGAAAGAGTACAGAGAAGAGCAGCAAAGATGATCAGGGGACTTGAGGCTAAAGCATATAAGGAATGGCTGCTAGAATTGGGTATGTCTAGTTTAATGAAGAGAAGGATGAGGGGGGACATGATAGCAGTATTCCAATATCTCAGGGGCTGCCCCAAAGAAGAGGGAGTCAAGCTATTCTCCAAAGTGCCTAAAGGCAGGACAAGAAGCAACGGGTGGAAACTAATCAAGGAGAGAAGCAACCTAGAACTAAGGAGAAACTTCCTGAGAGTGAGAACAATTAATCAGTGGAACAGCCTGCCTCCAGAAGCAGTAAATGCTCCAACACTGGAAGTTTTTAAGAAGAGACTGGACAGCCATTTGTCCGAAATGGTGTAGGGTTTCCTGCCTGAGCAGGGGGTTGGACTAGATGACCTCCAAGGTCCCTTCCAACTTTACTATTATTATTATTATTTTGGATCATCGCACAGTCAGCCAGATGTTCAGACTGGATTTGGCATTTTGTCTACCTATCGAGTCCTTACCCAGGACCTGGGATATTATTATTATTATTACTATTATTATTATTATTATATCTGACAGAAATGGTCTAGGGCAGAAATGGTCTAGGGCAGCATTGCGGTTGCTCTCGGGGGTGTGTGCGACCAGGTGGGCGTGGCCTATTGGGTGGGCGTGGATGGAGTGGGTATGGCCTACTGGGTGGGCATGGCCAGCTCTACATCGTTCGCATCAAGGGTGCCTGTGGGGGCCTGGGCAGGAATAAGACAGATCTGAGGGTCTCTGGCAGAAGGGGGTGGGACCAGGGCAAGCGCCAAGGCATGGTCCATTTCTTCATTCCTCACAAAGGGGGTGACACCTCTCCAGCATGCACCCAGGGACGGGGGCGAAGCGGCAGGGGATGGTTCCTCACTGTTTCTAGACCGCCTTGTGGAGCTAAGACTGAATGCGTTTCAGCATAGATGGCCACCACAAAATTGTACATTGTCTCCCGGCTGGCCTGGGCCGGGGCCAAGGCAGCGGGGGCCGTTCCCTCACTGTTTCCAGGATGGCTTCGCGGGCCACATGAAACCACTTTGCGGGCCGCATCCGGCCCCCGGGCCTTGTGTTTGACATGTCTGGTGTAGGGTCTCCTACTTGGGTGAAGGGTTGGACTAGATGGCCTACAAGGTCCCTTCCAACTCGGTTATTCTAATTCTTCTGAACAAGCACCTCTGGGAAAACCTGATCCAACTATTTATCTGCGTTTTGATGCCCAGAATGGGATGCTCAGGGTTTCATTTAGCATTTAGGAATAATGGTTCTACTGATTACAAAAACACACCGAGACACAGTCTCTGCCTGTATGAAAGCTCTTGAGATAGAGATTCATGCTCACCTACAACCATGATGTTGAATTCAAACCCTGTCTTCATGGTCTTGATACGCATCTGATCCAGGACGGCCTCAATCCCCACATAGCCAAACAGTCCACCGTCCGTGGTCTTGCGGGCTGGACCATCCTGAGGCCTTGGTTCTCCTGCTAGATCGTCCTCCATGCTCAGCTGCTGAAGCTTGGGATGAATCTCTGCAAAGAGGAAGAGAAAGGTAAGTTATAGGCAACTGGTTCCTCCAAGCAACCCCCTTCTTTTCTTGCAGCCTTCTTGCACTTCTGCATTAAGTCGGGAGCAAGAACGAAAGCGAAAGTGAAAAGATATCCTCTCCCTGGAGGCAGAAATGCAGCCTTGAAGGGACACAACCGCTATCTAAAGTTGGGTGCTGCAAGGGACGGTGGGGAGGTTGGGACAGGAATAGAAGAGCGAGGAGACCTAAATAGTCAAGAGACAGAAGGGGAAGTTATTGGCAGCTTAACTCAGCTCAGTAGGGAAATAGAACAACAGAGTTGGAAGGGACCTTGGAGGTCTTCTAGTCCAACCCCCTGCTCAAGCCGGAGACCCTATACCATTTCAGACAAGTGGCTGTCTAGTCTCTCCAGTGATGGAGCATCAACAACTTCTGAAGACAAGCTGTTCCATTGGTTAATTGTTCTCACGGTTAAGAAATTTCTCCTTAGTTCTAGGTTGCTTCTCTCCTTGAGGAGTTTCCATCCGTTGCTTCTTTCCTGCCTTCAGGCGCTTTGGAGAGTGGCTTGACTCCCTCTTCTTTTTGGCAACCCCTGAGATATTGGAAGACTGCTATCATGTCCCCCCTCTTCCTTCTCTTCATTAAACCAGACATACCCAGTTCCCAAAACTGTTCTTCGTCTGTTTTAGCCTCCCGTCCCCTAATCATCTTTGTTGCTTTTTTCTGCACTCTTTCCAGGGTCTCAATATCTGAAGCATCTTCCTCAACACGAGCAGAGTCCCCATTGTGCTGGTTTCTCATGCTGCATGCATCCAAGTCATGTTTGTCTCAGAAGGCTGTTAGACCAGCAAAAGAAGAAGAAGAAGAAGAAGAAGAAGAAGAAGAAGAAGAAGAAGAAGAAGAAGAAGAAGAAGAAGAAGAAGAAGAAGAAGAAGAAGAAGAAGAAGAAGAAGAAGAAGAAGAAGAAGAAGAGAGACAGAGAGAAAAGTGGAAGTGAATTTAGATGCACAGCAACATCTCTGACAAAGGTCAGACCTTAAAGAGAAGCTCAGCGGAAGAGGCTGGAGGGGTGCCTTCATTGGAGAAGAGAAGGGGTGGGGAAAGAGGGTTGGCATCCAGCCCAGGAGTTAGGAAGCTTTGCAGAGGCATTGTGGGAGGGAAAGGGGTTAGTTTTTTTCCCCCACCTCCCCAAATAAAAAGGGGGGAAAAGTCTCGTCTTATCCGGGCTGGTAATAAGGGGGAATGTTCAAAAGACTGGGAAGTTGGATATAGCTCCATTAAAAGATCCTTCAGTTTTGAGGGCAGCCTGTGCTTAATTTCAAAGCTGAAAAGATTTAAAAATGCAATCAAACCAATGAGGTTAAGGGATCTCTTTGCCATTTTTGGTTTTTTTTTCCCAACTTCCCAGGCTAGAGAAATGTCCATGCATTCTTTTTGGGTGGTCTTCCATCCCAATATTCACCAGATCTGATCTTCTTAGTCAAGGCTGGCTAGATGCTGCTGCAAATAGCAACTCACAAGCCAGCAAAGGAGTTAAGTATGGTGGTCTTGACCTTGCTGGGATGTCTAGTTTAATGAAGAGAAGGACGAGGGGGGACATGATAGCAATGTTCCAATATCTCAGGGGCTGCCGCAAAGAAGAGGGAGTCAAGCTATTTTCCAAGGTGCCTGAAGGCAGGACAAGAAGCAACGGATTGAAACTAATCAAGGAGAGAAGCAACCTAGAACTAAGGAGAAACTTCCTGACAGTGAGAACAATCAACCAGTGGAACAACCTGCCTCCAGAAGCGGTGAAGGCTCCAACACTGGAAGTTTTTAAGAAGAGACTGGACAGCCATTTGTCCGAAATGGTATAGGGTTTCCTGCCTGAGCAGGGGGTTGGACTTGATGACCTCCAAGGTCCCTTCCAACTTTTTATTATTATTATTATTATTATTATTATTATTATTATTATTATTATTATTATTATTTAGTGTGTAGTGTGTAGTGTACAGTGTGGGGTACCACTCTTCTAATCGCAATAGCTTTCCAAGATTACAAGAGCTTCATGCCATTATCTTCAGTACAAGACCCAGGATGGACAAACCTAAAAATAAGTTTATGGTCATCTTGGAACCAAATGGTGTCCCTTTGTGGTCTATGTCTACACACCCAGGACTTCTTTCCATTTTATTAATAGGAAGGAAGGGGGATTCAAATCTGAGCCATGGCATTGGAAGAAGCTGAGCCAAACCCTCATCTTCTGAGTTAGTCCTTCAATATTTCAGAGGTGCAGTGTTCCTCAATGTAGACAACTTGAAGATGGGTGGACTTCAACTCCCAGAATTCCCTGGCCAGCATCTTCATGTTGCCAAGGTTGATGAACTCTGGTGTCAAGGGACAAGGAGTTCCTGATTCCCCACCCACTGCAAATCTGATATTTAAGAAGGGGAAAGATTGTCAGCCAGCGTTGGGTGACCGTCAAAAGCCAAAGAAGCCAGAAGCCTTGAATCTAACATCTCCCTTTGCTTCTGTGGCCAAGCAGTTCTTACCCTTTCATTCTAGCCCCGTGGGGCAGCTGCTTGCAATTATTCAAGAAGGAGAAGGAGAAGGCAGAAATTCTGCCTTTATCTCTTTTCCTGTCCACCCCCCTATCCCCGCGGGTGTGAGGATCAATCCATCTGCTCTTGGAACAGCGTGGGAGCAACTTCCTGTTGTTCTTCAGAGCATATGGCTCTGGCTATATCCCTCAATAGAAAAGACATTGGCCAGGATCAAGGACATCAATCTCTCCGCCTCCTCCTCTTCCTCCTTCCCACCCAATATTCCCAGCTGGGCCAGAGCCACGGAAGCAAAGATGAGCATCTGAAACTTGGTTGACTCTGTCATGACGAAATCTTCCATCAGCTTATAGCTGAAGCTTTGAAGAACCTTCAAAGAGCTTTTGAGCTGGGTTGGACCAGTGGTGGGATTCAGCCGGTTCACAACCAATTCGACAGAACTGCTAGCTAAATCCAGAAGTCCGTTCTAGGCCTCAGAGGCCCAGACCTGCATCCAATAAGAGAACCGGTTGTTCAGGTATTTCAATCCCACCACTGGATTGGACCAGCCATGACCATCTACAGGCAGTCTTCAACTTACGATCGCAATGGCGTCCAAAATGTCCATTGCCAAGCGAGGCACTTGTTAAGTGAGTTTTGCCCCCTTTTATAATCTTTCTTGCCACATTTCACCGTTGTTAAGTGAAACATTGCAGTAATTAAGTTAGGAACACGGTTGTTAAGCGAAACACTGCAGCCATTAAATTCGTAACAGTTACGCCTGACCACCGACTCACATTTAGGATAGTTGCAATGTTCCTGGGGTCACATGATGCCCTTCTATGACTTTCCAGACCAAGCAAAGTCAGGGGAGGGGGAAGCCAGATTCACTTAACAACTGTGTGACTAATTTAACAACTTCAGTGATTCACTTAACAACGGCAGCAAGAAAAGTCATAAAATGGGGCAAAACTCACGTAACAAACCTCTCATGTAGCTACATAAATTTTGGGCTCAATTGTGCTCATACTGTAAGTTGAAGACTGCCTGTATTCCGTCAGTATTGTGTCAACCAGGTGTGTTCACCACCAAGCTACAGATATTCCACCACTATTGCAGGTTATAGTCTCCTCCGTCTTACCTATGTTCCCACATAGACTAGGCTAAAATGGGGTGATGTTTATAGCTCAGTTAAGTAGTAGGAAGATCAGCTATTATCTTAGCAGGCTGTGCAAATTAGGTGCCACTGGCAGTAAGTTGTCACATGCTTTGTCCTTGCTTAACCCAAGCCAGGGTTTAATGTATTGTGTGAATCCAGTTCAATTTAAATCAGGAGGGTGGTTCAGACTTGCACACCAGACTTTACATAGGGAGGGAAAAGGTTGCAGTTTTGATACTCCTGGTTCAAATGAGAACATTACCTAAATTCATGCTTATATATTTGCACCTGCAAAGTTAACGTGGATCTACCTTGCTCTCTTTCTTGGCAATATACACAGGCAAATTTATGCCTGGAGATGCCACTCCAGATAGCACTACTCAAGAGTTAGACAATGAGCACATCAGGAGAACAATTCTCAATTCATCCTGTCCTACACAGTGGTTAGGACACCAATGTTACTTCTAAAAAACCCTAGTTCTGAAATTACATGGAGAAAGATTTAGTACTGCAGCTAATTCAGAAAAGAAGCAAGTTTGACACATAAGTAGCCACAGAAATAATTGAGAATATCAGGTAGAAAGTCTAGACTAGAGACAGCACTGTCTCCTTGATACATTAGGCTTAACCAGCTCACTTAAAAAAACTCAGCTGCATTCATACAACATCCTCCATTCAATGTTCTAACCTTGCTTAGGTCAATCCATCAATTAACCAGTGGAATGGGTTGCTTTTAGAAGCTCTGGGTGCGCCATCACGAGGTTTTTAAGAAGAGGTTGGACAGGCCATTTGACCAGGATGCTTGAACAGGGGGTTGGACTAGAAGACCTCCAAGGTCCCTTCCAACTCTGTCATTCTGTTAATTCCTCAGATTAGAACCAGGCATGTCTGTACAAATGAACATGCCAATATTTGTATACAAGGAGAATAGTTCTTTTAAAATCCCAGACCAAAGTCCACCCCAAAAAACATTTTGCCTCTGTCTGCACACTAAAATCTAGATTGATGGATGTCTGCTCCCTTGTTCCTTCTGTTTGCTACACAGGGGGTTGATTTCATTTCTAGACTTGATCCAAGAGACCAGGAATTCTCCTCCGCCATGGATTCACTTTCTGGCTTTGTGAAGGTGACGGTCTCCAAGCCTTTGTCCCTGACGTGAGGAGGAAAAACAGCCAGCTGCCTTCATCACACAATGGCAAGGATGAAAAAAAAATGCAGCAATGAAATCCTTTCCAAAGATGCACATTCTCTCTCTCTCTCTCTCCCTCCCTCCCTCCCCCCCTCTCTCTCTATATATGTACACATACATACATACATACATACATA